GGAAACTTTGGCCCCTTCATGACTCGTGGACTTCAATTCCCAGAATTCCTGAGCCAGCATGAGGAAACTTTGGCCCCTTCATGACTCGTGGACTTCAACTCCCAGAATTCCTGAACCAGCATGAGGAAACTTTGGCCCCTTCATGACTCGTGGACTTCAACTCCCAGAATTCCTGAGCCAGCATGAGGAAACTTTGGCCCCTTCATGACTCGTGGACTTCAACTCCCAGAATTCCTGAGCCAGCATGAGGGAAACTTTGGCCCCTTCATGACTCGTGGACTTCAACTCCCAGAATTCCTGAGCCAGCCATGCTGAGGGGAAAGGGAGAGGTTTCCAAGCTGAGCCATGCTGGCTCAGGAATTCTGGGAGTTGAAGTCCACCAGTCACAAAAGAGCCAAGGTTGCCTACCCCTGTCCCAAGGCCACAAGTTGTCCATCCTTCTCTTATTTTGTTGGAAAACTATTTTAAAGAGGAGATGGAGGCTAGTTTAACTGAAGAGCCTTACTTTTTTATTGCCTTACTTCAGGTTAAAATGTTAAGGCTGATGACAAAGGCCCTTTTGCCTTGGAACCTGTGGTGCAGCGAGATCACTGCAGATCCTGAACTTAGTAATCTTTATAGGAGCCCCCTCCTCTTTAAACCAAACAGCCGCCTAACGAAGAAACACCTCTCTGTTCCAGAAACCAATCTTTCAAAAGGAAGCCGAGCATTTATGATTTACCTTGTATCCACCGATGCGATGATCTGGCTTGAATTCCCTGCCGTTCTTCAGCCAACGCAGGGTGGGGGTGGGGGTCCCACTAGAAGAACATCTGAACTTCACCGTTTTGGCCGCAGGAACTGCATGGAGCTTCTTCTCCATTTTCTCCGGGTACGTCCAGTAAGGTGGGATGGCTTCTGCAAGAGAACCCACAACTATGTTGCACGTTAGGCGGCATTCAAGACAAGGTTAGTAAAGGTACGGGTGTCAACTCTGCAACGAACCTGGCTGCAGCCATTTTTGTCATTCTAGGTTGTCACGAGAGAGGGAGAGGGGGAAAGGTATTCATGATAGTCTAAACATGAGCAATTCTTGTGGGAACCAAGGTCGTTCCCATACCGAAGTGGAGAAAAAAGATCATTTAGTCATAAAGTTCTATTGGATAGCATGAGTAGAAGTGTGGGAGTTGTTACATTATATTACTTTGATTCTTGTGGGGAAAGAGTTTAGATATGGTTTCACTTTCGACAGTGCCGATATCATGTATCCAATAAACATGGTTTTTGAGGAATTTCCATGATTTATTTGGTGTCATTGATCGGAAAACCATGACAACAGGAGATTGTTCCAACAGAAGGACAATCCCTCCTCCTTGAAGAAAAACGGGTCAACAATCGTTGGCGTTGGAGTCCTAACTGGAAGTTTTGACAGCCAAGTAATTATCTGCATCTCCTGAACCACTCAAGATCCTGGCCAGAAGGAGCAATTCAGGTTGTTCAAAACTTGGATGCTTTACCTAGCATGGAATCCTCCTAAGCCTGGGAATCGGGTGACACTGGAGAATCAGTGCCATACTATGGTTCACCACAAAGCCTTTTTTAAAAAAATTTTTGGATCTGGACTATTCAACTGATCTTTTAGATATATAAGCCAACAAATCACCACTTGATGATGGCCTGTCATCCAGCCTCCCTTACAGCTTCTGATCCACGGGCATCAAGTGCTTGTCCACCTTACATAGCAGTGGGCATCCAAGAAGTTATAGTAGGCTGCTTTTGTGATGCCCGTTTCTCCACCAATAAAAGGAGAAAGCAAAGTAAGCATTCCTTTTCTTAAATATTCAGCCTTAGGAGATGCCCTGATTAAATTTAGGGCACAGATAGTTGGGGGTTTCATGTACAAGCTTCGGGGGACATTGAGGTGTATTGATAATACAGGTAGTCCTGCAACTTTACCATCACATTTGAGCCCCCAATTTCTGTTTGCCAAGTGAATTTTGCCCCATTTTACAAACTTTCTTGCCAGAGTTGCTAAACGAATCACTGCAGCTGTTAAATGAGCAACACAATTTGTAAGCGAATCTGGCTTCGCCATTGATTTTGCTCATCAGACGGTCACCAAAGGGGATCACAAGACCCCGTCATAAATACGAGTCCATTGCCCAGCATCTCAATTTTGATCACATGAACTGGGGTTGTAAGTGTGAAAAACGGCCGTAAGTCAACGTTTTTAAGTGCTGTTGTAATTTTGAAAGGTGGCTAAACGAGGATTGTAAGTCGAGGTCTACCTGTAAAGTAGATGGGAATCTAGTGCATCTGGCCAGGCCGGTGATTTGCTCCTTCTGTACCGGATGGGAGGTAAATGTGCTCTTTCTTTAGTTAAATCACTAAAGCCTATTTTAGGCTTACGTTATAGTTTTTGTGCAGGTCACGCCTCCAACTGAGAGGAATCTAAACCTCAGTGACGCAGTAACAAAGGACAGTCAAAGCAAAGGGATTTGTAAAGGAGTGTAAGCAGCCCAGGAGAGGGTCCTGGGGTTAGCCATCTCCAGTTTAAGTCCCTGCGGAAAGAAAAGGGGTGCCACACCAGATTCGGTTCTTTTGGGAACAGATTCACCAACTGGGTTTGCAAGAGGTCCGTGGCTGCAAGGTAGGAAAAAGAGACGCTTCTACGTACGGTTCGGCTTGGAGTTGTCTGCCTCCTTTTCCTCTGAGGAAGAATCATCGTCGTCGTCATCGTCTTCCGCAGATGGAAGAGCATCTAAGGAGGATAGAAATGTAAGTATGAGTTGAGGAATTGAGCTTTTCCCAATGAGATAAGACAGTGCTTCTCAACCTCGGGAACTTTAAGATAGGTGGACTTCAACTCCACTTAGAGAGAGCTGTAAAGCACTATGAAGCAGTATATAAGTCTAAGAGTTATTGCTACTGCCCTCCCTCCCTTTTCCTTTCCTTCCTTCCTTCCCTCCTAGTGGTTAGAATGCAGCATTGCAAGCTAACTCTGCCAACTGCCGGCAGTTCAATACTGGCTGACTCAAGGTTGACTCAGTCTTCCATCCTTCCAAGGTCGGATGTTGAGGGCAATATGCTGACATGGTAAACCACTCAGAGAGGGCTGTAAAGCGCTATGAAGCAGTAGACAAGTCTAAGTGCTGTGACCATTGCTATTAACGCATGGTATAATAAGAGGTGGGAATGGAAGGGTGGACAAAGTCAATAGGAAACTAACCATTGATTATTTTGATTAGAAAAGTTCACAGAAGCACTTGCCACTGGCAAATGTGTTTCCTACTGTGATAAAATCTAGCCTAGAGAAGAGTGCTGATCCTGTGCTGAACTTCTGAGATGTTATTGTTAAGTAAGTTTTCTTCAGAGTCAGCGAAGCAAGGAAGAGTTCTCGTCGTCAGACAAAAAGTTGGGACCCTGGAGATATCATATGTTTCAGATGTCACTATTACTATCTCTAGATTTTCTCCTGAGAAGAGGCAGAGCTGGTGACAAGCAATCATGTTGGCTATCTCCAAAAGCAGGACAAAAACGTGTGGACGTTTGTCACTAAACCAGCCATTTGGCAAGCCTGTCAGGAATATCCTGTCTGTCACTTGGTATGGATTAGTTCTTCTATTAACAGCTCATCACCAGATAGAACTGCACTTGGACCAAACCATTTCAGAGTGCAGAGGGAGCTACAAACACACCATGAGAAGCTTCTCCATGGGAGAAAAGACAACTAAAACCTCAAGAGGCCTCCTACATCTGTCTTCTTATATGCTTCTTATCTGAGTTATCAAAAGTAGCAGACTCCCTGGAAAGGCTTTTATGCATTCATAAATGGTTGGCTTGACAGAATCACAATCAGAGTGGCTAAGAAGTCAGTCTTCCCAATAATCTATTAAGGCAGAGGTGGATCATGAAGTTTGGCACTTCCCTATCTTAGGCCAATTTAGCAGATTAGGAACTACTGATGGGAGACATCAGGAAAGCTTGCACGGTGCTAATGCCTCCATTTTCAGCTAGTGGAAATGTCAGTCTTATTCAGCCCATCTAGATTTTTCAGAATCTTGTTCTTTTTTAAATGAAAACCACATTTTTCTTCCGTCAACCATCAATCAATCCACGATCTTTTCCACATTATAAGAGGACGCTAGCGAACACAGGAAGCTGTGCTAAATTGAAAATGGCCATGACGTATTCTGTCATTCTTCCCCCAACCATCCGTATCACCTCTAAATCAAAATGAATTTGTCAGTTTCGATAGGACTTTCAAACTGGGGGAAATGCAATCAAATGCATCCTCAAACTTGCTTGGTTGTATCCACGGGGAGCCAAACGAACTTCGGTGGGTCCATGAAATGAAGGAGGCCCACCAAAGCTGCCCGCGGGAATCGCCTCTTACCTTCATCAAACTGGCACACAATTCAAAGAGTAAATGTATACCTCCTGGCCAATTAAAATTAACAGTTCAGAAAGCAAAAGTATGTGATCGCTTGCTCAACGTAAAGCAGAACAGTGTTTATTTTCGCCAGCAATAAAAGCCTTTCAAAGACCACCACCCATACCACCACAGCTCACTTCGAACCCTGATCCATTTTCGCCCTAGAGCTGAGCATATCAGGAGAGGCTGAAGGCATGAATATTGAAAAACCTGTGGACAATGCATTTTTTTAAAAAAAAAGAACAGTTGGAGAGACTATTCCAGAGGTGTTCCCTTGGGCATCACATTGTATAGACCAGGAGTAGGCAACCTTGGCTCTTTTATGACTCGTGGACTTCAACTCCCAGAATTCCTGAGCCAGCATGAGGGGAACTATGGCCCTTCATGACTCGTGGACTTCAACTCCCAGAATTCCTGAGCCAGCATGGCTCAGCTTGGGAACCTCTCTCTTTCTCCTCAGCATGGCTGGCTCAGGAATTCTGGGAGTTGAAGTCCACGAGTCATGAAGGGGCCAAAGTTTCCCTCATGCTGGCTCAGGAATTCTGGGAGTTGAAGTCCACGAGTCACAAAAGAGCCAAGGTTGCCTACCCCTGGTATAGACTGAATCCTGGTCTCCCAACAATCCAATCCTGGTAAGGTTGGGAAAAAAAGGTAAGGCTGACAAAGATAATTCAAAATTGTTCTTCCCAGTAGCTGGTAACCTGCTGGTAACCTGCTACAAACCTTCCCATCCTGCTGGTAACCTGCTACAAACCTGAGACATTCACGGAGAAATAGGTGGTCTCGCTTCCTGAGGGGCTGTTGGTCATGCAGGCGTAAAGACCGGAGTCCTCAGGCACAGCATCCCTGACCTCTACCTCCTCCCCTGTGATGCGCGTCCGGTTGTTCTCGGATAGCTGGACCCCGTCTCGCACCCAGTTGATGCTCTGAACATCGTCCCGTAGCCGGCAGCGCAACTGGAGGAGGTCGCCAGGGTGAGCCGAATAAGACTCCACTTCAAGGCTTGTTTGGGGGAGAACTGGAAATGTTAGGGGAGAAAAAAAAGAGACAGAGAGAGGGGGAAGCAAGGTGGTAAATGCTTTATTGCAGATGCATTCCTCTGGCAACATGCAAACGTCTGAGAGAACAGTGTCCTCTGACAGTTTTTAAGACTCGAGCGTCAGCTGCCATGCAGGTCTCTGGGAGAGCAAGGCAAGCAAGAATCTGCAACAGAGCTTTTCATTTCAATTACCGATCCAGCACTATCCATGAACACAGAGCTGTTTATATATATGAATATATATACAGTATGTATTAAAAATAATGTGTTATTAGGAACCAAGGACAAAGAGGGCTGAAATGAGCAAGGAGCTGCGCCAAAACAAACGGCAAGTCAAGGATGGGCAATCCAGCAGCCATGGCTTTGCCTGAACTTCAGGCATAGGTAAGCAGGCTGCCATCCGGCTTTCAGCGCAGGGAAGGACAAAGAGGAGGCAAGGGTTAAAAGCTATTATAGGAGAATGAAGTCTCTCTCCCTTCTTTCACTGCGTGGATCTGTTGTTCTGTAGGGCTTCTTTCTTAGGTCATCGGTAGAGCATCGCTTGTGGACTTCCTGATCATGCTCTGAGGGGTCCTTGGTGCTTTCTGAGCGTGGTTGTTTTCTTGCAGATGTTTCATTACCCAAGCTAGGAAACATCATCAGTGCTAGCACAATGACGACTTAACCTAGTTTGGGCACTGAAACATCTGCAAGAAAACAACCAAGCCCAGAGAGCACCAAGGACCCCTCATTTCAACCCTGAGCTACAAATATTCTCCTTTATTGTGACCATGCTCCGGAGTTGCCTCTACAAAGCTAATCATCCATTGAGTGAATCCTTGACTATGCCACATCAGTATGCCAGGGGAAAGATAGAATTGGCTGATTTAATTTCCTGCTCTCTTTTTTTTAAAGTGCTTCTGTAGGATGGAAAGTTATTCCTGCAAGCCTACTCGGTCCACTTGCCCTGGAGTAGTCTAAGGACAGTATTAACACCCCATTTTCTCTCGGGGAGAAATATCCCTCTGCAGACAAGACATTCACCAGCATTCCTGTCTAGTCTCAGGTCAGCAAAAACCACCATCTTCCAGATGTTTCTTACTTACCATAATCAATAAAGCACCCAAGAGAGACCACCAGGGTTTCTTCCAGCTGTCTCGTCGGTGGGCTTATCAAATTTTGGCAGGCACGAGGATGAGAAGATTTGAGTTTTGAGGAATATTCATTTTCTGATTTGCAGAATAATAAATTCTCTCCAGTTGTTTGGAAATCGGAAATAACACGGGCGGAGAGGAAAGCCTCACCCTGGGAGGCCATGTCATCTCATCCTACGCTGAAATCATTGACTCTATAGAGACCACTTTGGAGAGACAACGGAGAGAAACCGCTATAGTTGGATAGGGATTCAGATCTTGAGCTCAACCATTCCTACCGAGTTGCCATCCTTGTTCCAAACCATTGACAGAAGTGGTAGGTTGGCTGGGGACCCAGCTCGCTTTCTCAATTAAAGGTGGTTCTCGACCACAATTGAGCCCAACCATTTCTGCTGCTAAATGAGACGGTGAATTTTGCTTTCCATCAGAAAGAACGGGGAGTGGAATTTGCAACCGATCTGTTCCCTTTCTCGTTTCCCAGGCACAGAATCAGTCTGAAATATCTTTCTGGGACTGGGTGATCCACTCTTCCTCCTCTCCTTTATCCTGGCTGCTGAAAACCAGAATTAGTGATGAAAGCCCAGATGCGCTGGGCAGGCCACGTTGTAAGGATGCCAGGCCATCGCATCCCTAAACAGCTCTTCTATGGTGAGCTGTCTCAAGGAAAGCGATCGCACGGGGGACAAAAGAAGCGATACAAAGACACGCTGAAAGCATCTCTCAAGTCCCTGGATATCGACACCATCTCTTGGGAATCTTTGGCGCATGATCGACCGACATGGCGTACCCTGGTTTACCAGGGGTGCCAGACATATGAA